TGCACTCTGACCCTCGTCGTACACATCACACCCCAACTGAATGTAGCTCCGAAACTATCAAATACAATTTCCATGGCACCCTGAATGCCCTGTTGCGGGGAACTAAAACTAAAGATATTATTGAGGTTGCAGGAGATCTGAATGCATAACTGGACAGGTTTGGGGCAGTCAAGAGCTCAAATAGACCACACCGACACCATTTACCGATGTTTCGGGCCAATGAATGACTGCCGGTCGTTTTGGAACACATGTGTGTATTCCGACCACCCACTCTTCCAGATTAGCTTCTTTGCTCGTTTTCCCGGAATCGCGTATAAAGCGTAAAATCACCTGGCAACTGAGGCTGGCGGATTCGGGCTTTAGACGAATTTACCAGAATCATCTAGAGTCTTTCCAACCGCTCCATCGTCAGATGTAGATCCATACTGGGACGAAATAGCCACCTCTTTGCACAGTGCTGGGAGTCTTGCATGTGACACAGCTGCTAGGCTCACTGAAGCACTAAAGATCACACCAAACAGTGGCACTACTTAAATCTCGGAGAAATATCCCAGCCCGTCCCGAACATAAACTGACCTACGAATTACCAGACGTCAAGTGAAAGTGAGCCTGCGGACCGACCGTAAAGTCTGATGGACAAGGAGAGTCAAGAGAATGGAAGAGGCACAGAAACCCGGGAATGCCCGGAGTTTATTTCAGTTGATCCGCGCAACTGGTCCCCTAAAATCTGTGAGCTGAACCATCAAGGATCAGAAGGGAATGACCATCTTGAATAAGGAAGGACGCCTAGACCGGTAGACCGAACATTTCGAACAACAGCTATCGTGGCCACCACGTGTCACTCATCTGGAGCGAATGCAGCACCACAAGCGGTTGCGTGACATTGCCATGTTGGTGAAAACCCCTAGTCACTGACGTATTGGCTCGTTCATATCCTAACCTCTCAACCAGTCAAACATTCAAGGCCATTTGTAACGTTCTCCATGCCATCTCCAGGTCATGGCCTGTCCACCTTGTAAAGTTTTCCAGTGAGAACCTGGCGTATGCAGGTGACTTTTGAACAAAACTCAACATCGGGCCAAATCCACACTCTCCTTCAACTCTCCGATCGTTTTTATTCAATATACACTTTTGCATTTGAAATCCTGCAACATGAAGAGGGAAGCGTTAAGTACTGATGCCTAGAGGATCCCAAAAGGTGAGGTCCAAAAGGTTGGCTTCATACCGCTAACCATCGACCGATACCGAACCATATCCACGATGGGATAATGCTTCTTAAGCTTAATTCACCAGAATTCCAAGCAGCATAGTGCAGGATGAACGCCGCTGAAAAATTTATCATGACAAAAATAGAGAAATCGTTTAGCTATATCACTCTTTCGGTGTCTAACTGCCATGCCACCAAAAAGAATCGCAAAGGATGGTAAACTACCAGGTTGTCCAAGCCCAGACAGAGGAATTTGAGCAGAGAGAGAACCACGGAACTTCCGGTCAGTAAATTCGTGCTCTAACCACTGAGCCGTCTCGCCCCCATGGAAGCTAGGCACCGAGCAGGTGTTACAGCAGAACGGTTATCTTTTATATTTATGTAGGGGCAAGATAGCTCAGTGGTTAGAGCGCGACTTTACTGACCAGAAGGTTCATAGTTCGAACCAGACCTCTGCCTCTTGACTTCCCCTGTCTAGGCTTAGGAAACCCGGCAGCATCCCAACCCTCATGCTTCCTTCCGGTGGCATGACAGCTAGGCATCGAAAGGGCGTTACAGCTGAACGATATTTTTATGTATTACTAGTGTAAATGGTGAAGGCCTGTTGGCTACAACTTGTTGAGACGAAGCGTAAGTGAGCATCAGGTCCCCTAGAAGGCTACGGTAGCCTAGGGTGTAGAGATCGAGAATCTCCAGACGTGTTCCATGATCGATGAATTTGAGGACGTCAGCCACATTCGTAGAAGCTTGTTGTGTACAATCAATGAGGATGAGGTCTTATTGTGCCTCGAGTAGAAAATCTTGTTGGCGTATTCAAGAAGCGGTCTGATGTCATCATTGAGTATCTGGAAGTTTATGCAGGGGAAGGTGCGGCGAATTGTCTGAAGAACAACCAATGTCCTTCGATCGAGTTTTTTTGTGATGGAGTAAGAACTTGCTTGAAGGCAGCCAGATACCTAAATCCTTTTGATTATCTAGCTTCGTAATATCCTTCGGCCCAATTGCACGAAGCTGACGTTTACCGAGTTTCCTCCGGACGACGTATAAACACACTCTTTGCCATTCAGAAGGTGCCAGTCCAGTGGTTACTGTTTTACAGCACCAACGTCCATCTGAAGTGCGCTGGGGGAACTCCTAAATTTCAGGTCATCCGCAAAAGTAGACACGGACTTGAAAGCACATAGGAAAGGTCATTGATGCAAATCAGAAAGAGGAGTGGTCCTAGGACAGAGCCTTGAGGAACTCAAAGGAAGACCAGTGCCGGAGAGTAGGTTGATCCCACTTTTACTCGGAACGTTCTATTTGATAAGTCTCAACCCAACGTAGAATTTCCCCATGGATCCCATAAGTATCGAAGGATGATCGGACAGCAGAACTTGACCGAAATCTTTGTAGAAACCGAGAAACATGTTGCTCGATATTAACCCTGGATTTGGCCTACGTCAAGCTGTCCAACATGTTCGTCGCGCAGAAAATACGTGTTGAGCCGGGAACACCAGGTGCAGGACAATAAGCGGTTACCAGATTTGTAGATCGGCGTAACATTCGCTCTCTTTCAAGCAGAATTAAGACCCCAGCGCATCGAAGGGAGTAGTCTTGTGGAGAACTTCAAGAACATCCACCTCGGTAAGGAAAAGTTAGCTGGCGCCGTTGGTTAGTTTCTTCGGTATTGGCTCATGTACCGGAATAGTATATTCTTTCCGTCTTGACAAGAATTAGTAGGATCAACTGGCGGATCTCCGAGCTGCAGTGGTTCTGAATCTTACAAACTGAAGGGTCAACTTCCACGCCAGGATTCGAACCCCTGTGCAGCCAGGGATTCCAACCACCAGATCATGCTTATGTAATGGCGGCAACTCCTCAGCTCAGTTCTCGGTCTGATTGTCCTGATACGGCGTTTTAGCAAAAGAACAACAAAAGGCATTTAAAACTAAAACGAGTAAAAACTACTTATGCGTGCCGTACATAAGGCGCGTGCAACCACAAAACTGGAAACCCGGACGCCCTCTGGACATGCCATTGGTAATCTGAGTTCAGTGGTGGACCTACGCTTCGGAGAGATGGCCCAGTGGACCCTGGTTCGAACCGGACCCCTGAATCTTGACTTCTCTTGTTTAGGCTTAGGCAGTTTGGTATTATCTCACCCACTGTGCTTCCTTCGGTTGGCATAGGAGCTGGGCACTGAAAGGTTGTTACAGCTGAACGACTTTCAATTGTAGGCTTCCGAACAAGCAGAACCAACCCTGACACTGGACCAGCAAGCGACCCGATCTTCTAACTAATCACGTGTGAGTTAAGTTTATTGGGCGCCCAATTGCGAGGCGAACCGGCTCACGGATTCTCGGATTGATACACAGGATCGAGGCTTTTGCCCAAGTTTCTCGGGTCGCTTTTGTATTGTCGGTCAGTG